TCCCAGCTGCTGTTCCCAGGCACCGGCGGCACCACCGGCCGCACCGGCTGCCACCAACGACAGCCCGGAAAGCGCCGGGGGAGAGAGGGGGGGCTATACGGAGAGAGAAGGGGGGACCCTCCTCATCCCCACCGACTGCCATGGAGAGGCGGCGCTGACCCCCTGCCCAAAGCAGGAAATTGGTGGCGTGGGGCCACGTTCAGCCCTTCGCCCTGCCCAAGCCTAAATCCTGCTCGTGGCTGTGACAAAGCCCCCCGTGGTATCACCAGACCCCTTTGGGACCGAACCTTTGCCCTGCCCGGAGAACGGGATGAGGGATCTTTACCCAATGCCCCCCCCCAGTGGGTTGTGGGCAGCTTGTGCTCCCTTGGCACCCCCGAGCAGGACAAGCAGAGTCAAAGCGAGAAAAATCAGGCTCTAACCACCACTGGGTCCCCCCGCCACCCCCAGCTCTCTGCCAGGATGGCACTCGCACAGGGGACCCCGTTCCCAGCGATCACTCCAAGCTATTGCCTCCACAGATAATCAGCTCTAAGCGCTCCCAAGTGTTGACTTCAGCCTTGCTATTAAGCTCAAACAATAACAATTTCTAAATCTAATTTGTTTTTCTTTCTGCCCAGCAAGAGCCTCGTACCCTGCTAGGAGAGGAAAGGAGTTTTTTTTTATCAGCTCACATTATCTCCTCGCCCTGAAGAGGCTGCCGCGCAGAGGCTGGTCGTCAAAGCGCGGCCGCTCTCAACTCCTCGTCTGCGGCACAACCCGCCGTTTCAAAGGGAGGGAGTTTCGTGGCTTCAGGAGCAGGGGTTTGGTCCTTAAGCCCCATCTCTGCCAGGTGCAGGCAGGCAGCTTTGTTCAGTGCATCAGCACCTGCACATCCAGCCTGTGCAGAAACGGGGCTTTTTGTCCCACCCGGCAGCATCCAGACCACGTTCCCTGGTCATATAGGATACAGGGAGTCATCTCTGCTCTCCAGCATGAAATTCCTGTCTATTCCAACTAAAAGCAGCTCCTCTTCTGCTCCGGTCCTACAGCAGAGGTTTGAGTGTGGTCTAAGGTAGAAGCTCAAACCTTACCTATCCACAGCAGGTTTTGCAACATAATCCGTGTTTACTACACTTGTCGGGATTGTTCAACCTGTTCCAGTCAGGATACACAACCAGAGGGGCTGGAGATGCAGCGCTTAGGACACGGGGTTAGGGGACGTGCTTCTACAAAAGCCTCGTAGAGCTGAGAGCCCTCTGAAGCATGCAGACACCCTCCACGGTGAAAGGAAAATGAGCTTCCCGAGAGCAGGAATTAACCTGGCTGGAAGGGCTGGACTGACCCCCTAACCTCATTTCAAGAGCGGTACATAAAGCTGGGATTTTCTAGGTCATTTCATCCCAGGAAGCACAAATGCAAAGGCCTGGAAAGACGTATCCCATGAGCTTTTCTTCTCCTGGACCAGTATCTAGACCCAGATTCATCTGCAGCTCAGGTAAAAGCTAGCCACAGCCGGGATACCTAGACACATTTCCCAAGTACACGTGGCCCAGGCCAGCCCCTTGACGGTCTGACATTTCAGCTGCCAATTGATACAGAATTTATCCACATACTTACACTTACACTCCATTTTACAGGGACAGAAGATAGGGGCAGCTTGCGGACAGGTACATGTTTAGAAACTGCAGCAGCACCTACAAATATTAAAACCCCTTTTGCGAAAAAACCAAGGCTCCCAAACCTGATACAACATGCATTTAAAAATTCTTGTTTTATGCAAGTCTTTTGGCACTGTGGTCCCATGCAGAGACTCGGCCCTTCTACAGAATCCCCCCACGGGGGTACTTACCTTGTAACTCCAGACAAGGACACCACACTGCTTCCCAGTGGGATTTCACAGCGGAGACGCAGTGGCCTTTGTGGGTCTGGTGAAGGTCAGCAGCGCAGGCTTAGCCTCAGAACTGCTCTGGTAAAAAGTGAGGCAGGATGCACATGCGACAGAGGGTGCCAAAACACCTCCTATTCTCAGTTATTCTTCAAGAAAAGAGATGGAGCAAAACAGTGCCACGTTTCAGCCCTTTTAAAATTACTTGAAAGACCAGGGTGAGACTGCGTTTGATGGGGATTATCTAAATACAATCTCATCCAAGGAACACTGCCATGGGCACTGCAGTAATGCTTCCTCCGTAGCACCGTGAAGCCTGCAGGAATCACCGAGCAAGGAGCTTTGCTTGAAAGCTTTACCATTTCAGTGAGAGTCTGCTGTGTTGGACTGTACGCTGAAACACAAACGCCTGAAATATCAAAAGGGTAAACTTACTCAATTTAACACAGAGCCCTGGGTGAATGATTTAAAAGTGAGGGTTTTAGTCCACTTTTTCGGTCTGGTTATTGATCTTTATAACAAAATTGCTCATTACATGTGATGTGTTACTTATGCCCGCAACCTGCTTATGAAGCGCTAATGAAAGACTTGCGCTTTACCTGGGCTTCAGCTCTGGGGGCCGTGCTTTGGTGTCTGTGCAGGTCTGCGTTTAACCCACCCAACTTGGGCCACAATTATTGCCCAAAATAATAACTTCTACAGGAGTGGAGAGAGGCTTTACACAGTTTTATTGTTTTGCAGAGTATTTTGAAGTTCAACTGGAAACAAGCTTACAACAAACCAATCATCCCCAAAATCCCCTCGAAGAGTTTATAAACCCTAAAACCAACTACCGCAAATAAACAAATAAAAAAAAAAGCAGCCAAATTCAGAGTACTTTTATCAGTATTATACAAACTACTAAAAGTAAATCAAAGTAGAATTTTAACCCCTAATCCTTATCTCAGTAACTTAAAATAATTAGGCATTCCAAAGATTCTTTCATCGCGTTTAGTGACTTCAAAAGTTGTGGTAACATGGGGAAGATAAAGTGCCAAACTTGCATATTTCTTGGCTGTGATCTACTATTAAAGACACCAAAAAGTGCTCCGGGACTTTTTAGCATATATGACAAGATGTTCAGTGAGGAATTTTATGGGAAAAAAGAGGAATGCTCTATTATCACCAAGTAAGAGCATTTCATGCTCTTTAGAACCTGTATCAAGTGAAGTTTGGGTCTCTCTACAGCCTCATTCCAAACCGATACAGGGTGTAAGAGATGAGAAGCCACATCTTGCAACTCTGCAAGCTACTCCTGATGAACCAGTTCTGAATTGCAGGCAGGCTCAGCTCTATCAGAACCTCTTCAGACTCTGTGAGTCAGGCACCTAGAGGTCACAGCCCTCAAAACATTTCTTTCAGCAAAAACATGTAGGGAAGTTTTCAAACCAGATCAGAGTCCAGAAAGCAGGCACAAACTTCAGCTTTATTGTTTTCCAAGCAATGGTCATCTTTGCAAGGGAATGATATTGCAGCTGAAAAAGAAAGAGGGTAGAAGGAAACATTAAAGTCTCAGTTCTCACACAGGCACAGAAGCTCTGACGTGGCACAAATTAGACCCACCGCAACCCTCCTCCATTGGTTTCCTCTACCGGACAAACTAGCCACTGAGATCTTCCTCCTTGTCCTCATGTCTGATACAACTCGCCTCCCCACTATCACTGTGCAAAACTGTCAGCCTCCAGCTCTCAGCTGGTACCTGCCAGCAAAGTCCATCAGAGTGGGCAGCAACACACACCGAGAGCAAAGCAGAGAGCTGGCCCTGCTGCAGGAAACGTGCTCGGAGCTGGGCGAAAGCCTCATCCGTTCTAGTAAATGGAACAGCAGCTTACCCCAGGAGGCCCTTCCCGGCCCAGCGCTTCGGAGTCAGCCCCACGTGCACTTTTTTGCCACTGCGGATCACAGTCACACTCAGGGGTCTCTGAAAGGGAGGAAAAAAAAAAAAAAATTAAAAAAAAGATGGCAACTTTCCATCACCAAGTCAACCCTCTTCTTCCTTCTTTTGCTGAAGCACCAGAAGAACATTAGGCCCAGGGGAGCTCTTCCTCAGCGGCTCCCGTTCCCATCCCTGCAGCTAAATCTGAAAGAAGAGAGCATTTGGTGGGGAGACATCTCCAGGCAATCTCTCACTTCCACTATAAAGTGCTTGATGACTGTGGCAGCTTCTTTGGCCAGTCCACGAGGGTGGCTCAGCAATGCAGCCTGCTGCTGCAGGGAGTCCCCTGGGGAGAACAGACAATATGATGCTCACAGCAAAGGGCACACACCTCTTAGCTCTCTTCTATCCA